TTTCCATTTTCCGTTTGCCATTCATATTTTGTGTGTTTTTGCATAATTTATTTAACGCTTTTTGCAATTTATTGCGCATTTTTTTATTGGCTTTAATGAAGTTGACTTTTATATTGCATCTTTTGACCAATTAGCCGAAGATAAAGTATCTAAAATCTTACGCTTTTTTTTTTAACACATAAATTATCGACAGTATGCATTAAAAGTTATCGATTATTTTGACTTGCAGAGCTACCAAGTCCTTGGGGTCCCTTTAACTTGGCCAGAACTGAGCCGCTTTTTATGGTTATTGGAACGTGTTGAATGTGTGAATATGTGCTTACACTTTTGTGGAATATTTTGAGTATTTGTTTCTTGAGATTTTGGAGAGAATAAAATATTTATTAAAAATTTATAGGTAAACAATTTCGATTACAAATCGATTATGAGTGCTTGTATATGTCTATCTGTCTATCTATCGATCTATCTTTTATCCATCTATCTATCTATCCATCTTTCTATCTATCTATCTACCTACCATCTATCTATCTATCTATCTATCTATCTATCTATCTACCTATCGATCTATCTTTTATCCATCTATCTATCTATCTATCTAGCTAGCTATCTATCTATCTATCTATCTATCTATCTATCTATCTATCTATCTATCTATCTATCTACTTACCATCTATCTATCTATCCATCTATATACTATCTATCTATCTATAAACTATCTATCTATCTATCTATCCATCTATATACTATCTATCTATCTATATAATATCTATATATTTATATATACTATATATCTATCTATAAACTTATCTATCTATCTTTAACTCGATTTTTTTCGATAAAATGTCTATCGATTCTTCAAAATTTGTATTTACAATACTGTTAAGTGAACAAAAAAACCCAAATGTCTAGACGTTTCTAGACTTCAACCTTAGTTTAAGGCATCGTATCGACTTCTTTTATTGATGTGATTTTGAGCACTGGAAAATTTAGGCATTGAGGAAGGCAAATTTTTTAAAAATTAGTTCGAAAAACTAGTTCGAACAGCCCAACACGCTTGCCCCAATAAAATCAGAATAGGTTTTATTTTTAAATTTTCATTTTCATTTTCATTTGAAATCTGAAGTGTTGGCAGGCGGTAGCCGTTGCGATCTTAATCAGCGCCTTTTGGGAACAGCAACAGCAACAGCAACAGCAACAGCTACGGCCACATGTGGCATGCCACGGCATAGACTGTGGCATGAGCTTCCGCAGCAGCGGCTTGCCTTTCGATCAAATGTCAGTCGCCGTTGCAAATGCAATTGCCGCCGCACCTCTCGCAATTGTTGTCGTTGTCATTGTTGTTGCAAGCCAAGCTGGAAGCTGAAAGCTGCAACACTGAGGGCTGCCGCTGCCGCCGCCGCTGTTGCAGTTGCTGCTGCTGGGGCGCTGTCATTAGGCAAACATGCGGCTGGGCCGGCTGCAGCGATTGCTGTTGCAGTTGCAGTTGCAGCCGTTTGGCCCCACAAAAGAAGGTGACGCAGCTGAAATCAATGCGCTGACCAATTGCCACACATGGCAAATGGCCGGGCGGTGGCCTGTTTGCTTGCAGCATGCGGCATGCTGCAGCTGAGAGTGACAGCTGTGCTGGGCTGTGCGGGTCAAGCTTCCGCCAGCTGATGCAGCGCCCTGCTTCCGATGCATATACATACATACGTATTGATGCATGTGTGTGTGCGTGTGTATTAGTGTGTCTGTGCAACATGTGCACTTGCACCTGACCAAAAGCCGCCCCACAAGAGGCGCGCATTGCCACATGTCATGCGGTTTCACCTGGTGCAAGCAACGCTAACCCCCAATCCGCCACACTGCCCCCCCCCCCCCCCCCCTCTCCACTCACCTTTAGCTATGCTTCGGTTTCGATTTCCTAATTCGCAGCCAGACAACAGCCAAGAAAGTCAAAACTGAAAACCCAACTCGATGCGGCTGCTTCAATTACACAAAGTCATGCAGAGTGCCAGCTGGAAAAACCCCCCTGTCTGCCCCCTACACCCCTGCACAGTGCAACGCCGCAACTGAAACCCACGAAAGTTGCCGAGCCGTGTCCGCGTCGCTGTTGTTGTTGTTGTTGTTGTTGGCGTTGGTGTCTGACTTTGTTTTAGTTTTTTGCTGCTGCTTAGCAAAACAGGTGCGTTTGCGTTTGCAGGTGTTTCCCAAAAGCCACCACCAGCAGCAGCAGCCGCAGCCGCAGCCGCGACTTCCAACTTGGACTCGGCTTACTTCAGCCCCTGCCCACCCCTTCCAGTTTGTCTTGTCAGTGTGTGGTGTGTGTGTGTGTTCGTGTTGGTGTCTCGCGCTGTTTAGTAGTTACGCTTTACCGCTAGCTGCACAAATCGCCGCCTTGCTATTCACCACCGCCTGCTATTCACCACCGACACCGCCGCCCGCCCCCTTGGCCCAACCAACTGGCGCCAGTCGCTCATGCGCTTTGTGCTTCGTGTGAAAATCACAATTAAATGCAATTTTTATGCGCACCTACAAAGCCGTCGCTTCCAGCCGCAGCGTCGACGCGTCGTCGGACGCATTCGGCTCGTGCAGCTTTCCATTTAAAAGCTGAGCTTCGGCTCTGACTTAGACTTCGTGCTCTGCGGTTAAAGTCGCTCGTTTCGGCGCTCGGCACTCGGCTCTGCGCTCAGCTGTCAGCTGCGCTGTTCGAAATGTCAGCTTGACAATTATTATGTCAAAAAATTTTTTCGGTTTGCGCCGGCTGCGCAGTCGCAGCTGTTGACTGTTACACGAGTTTTTATGGTAATTCAAGTTTCACTGATTTCACGTTCCAGTCGCACCCAAAAAAAAAAAAAAACAGACAACTCAAAAAAGACACAAAACAAAACAAAACTATAAACAACAACAGTAAATGGGTGAAAATCGAGCTAGGCCCGCTAATTGCCAGAGAGCCGGAGCCAAAGAGCCAAAGCCGGAGTCGTAATCGGTGCCCAAGCCAAAGACAGCGTCCATTGGCGCTGCAATTGGAAGCTGTTGGCGGCGAGCTTCGCGTAGCTGTTGCAGAATGCACAAAACAATTAGCGCATTCCAGAGAGAACGCACCGCGAAGTGGGCAAATGCATGTGAAACAAAAGCTTATGCCCTGTAGTTGGCTAATGGGGTGTGTTAACTGTATAGTAATACTAACAGATACGTTAGTAAAAGTTAGTACAGGGTAAGCTTCGTGGTTAGTAATATAATCTTCCATATATACCCTGTAGTTAGCTAGCCAAGGGGGTATACTCACTGCAATTTAGTACATAACAAAATTCGTTAACAGTCACAGTTAGAGTACCTATACCCTGTATTAGTAAAAGATAATAGGTCCGAAATGTATACCCTGCACTTACATGACCAACTGGGTATATTGCATGCACACGAATTATTGAAAACTATGTGAAAAGAATAGAATAGAAAAGTAAAGGATAACACGTTAAAATACATGAATACTCTGTAAATACGAAGCCATAAAGGGTATACCCACTTCATTCATCCATCAGAACGAAAGCTACAAATTTATAGCTAGTTTTTCAAAAACGTACCCTTAAAACTCACCTTAAAACTTAACATAACTTAAAAACTACTGAGTAACTGTTCGTCGTGCAACGATAGTTCGAATCGCTTGATTTGGATTGCGGGCAGCCAAACTGACATTTGAATGGGGCGACTGGCACCGAACGGCCCCACTCTCAGCCTCAGCAGCGGCCTCAGTCGCCTCAGCAGCGGCCTCAGTCGCCTCAGCCCCCAAGGCAATTGGTCAATTGCTTTGTAAGCTGCAATCATTAACGCTAATAGGCGACGGCAACGGCGACGTCAGCAGCGACGCCGGCAGCGGCGACTGCGACGCAGCTGCAGCCGCAGCTGTGTGTAAAAACCCAAAATCCGTTTTGCCCCCGACAACTGTCACCGAAAACATTTCTCGAAAGAATTTTTCGCACACGTGCAACTACTAGGCCAGCGGCTACCTGAGGCTGAGATCTGGAAAGCCCTTAATGGGCAGCAGAGGCAGCGGCAGAGGCAGCGGCAACAGCAGCAGCAGCAGCAGCAACAACAGCGAAGAGCAGACAATGACAATGCGTGAGAAAACTCGTTCGAGTTGCACGGGCGGGCATTATCTTTGCCCTAGCGGTTGTTCTTCTTCTTCTTGCTGCTGCTTGCTGTAATTCGTTGCACTTGTTTACATGGGAAATGGTTTTCCACATTGTTAGCCAGTTTTCCTTATAATTTTCTTTGCAGCTACCGCACGACCGTTGAGTCAGGTAGTCTCTAGATCGGTAATTTCCAGAAACCAAGCCACAATAAATAAAACCCAAAAGAAAATCAAACAAAAATCATATTTGAATAGTATTTTATGTAATTTATTTTGTAATAGCTATAATTTAATTTGTTTTTGTATTTCTTGTTGTTTTTGTTTGTTTTTTTTTTTTGTTTGCATTCTTTTCATAATTATGTTACATCATGAATTGTGAAACAGGGTATACCCGATATTGAAACAAATGATAATTGAAATTTTTCTCTCTGCATTTTGTCGTATTTTTCATTCACTTTTCAAATCGTAAAATATAAAACGCATAATTATGCTAAATAAAAACACTTTGTACAAAGTATGCTACAGATCACAGAACATATATATATATATTTATATTCATATATATTATTATTATTATTATTATTAATAATATGCTTTATATTATATTCAAAAGAGGAAAACTTGATTGGGGATAAAACCTACGCTTAACGCTTAAATGATAAGAAAATTGTTCCTTGAGGTTTTTTTCATATGCGTGTGTGTATGAGTGTGCGTGTGTGTGTGCGTGTGTGTGTGTATAAATAAATGAATTGTTGCTGCTGGACTCTGGCTAAACGATAATAGGAAAAAATTTCTAGCGACTTTTAGTTTGTTGTATTAAAATTAATAGGAAATACATTTAATTGAAAAATGAGAATGAAAATTTGTTAGAATTTTGCGTTTTATTTTAGTTGTTTGTTTTCTTTATTTTGTATTCTGTTTTGTTTCATTTTTATTGCTGCTCTCTGTTTTGCTTTGCATCTCTTATCATCATTTTCGTAAAATTATTAACATGCTTTTTTTGCTTCATTTAAACCAAAAACTAAACATATAGAAAACAAAAATTCAGTTTTTCATTTCATTTTATCAATGCGATTAAAAGGAAAAATTAAATTGTTTAAAGCTTTGCCAAGTTGTTTTTCATCATCTTCTACTTCTACTTATACTTCTTCTTCTTCAACATATTCTTCTTCTTAAACAGCTGCTAATAGTTAAATGTTAAACGTTAAATGTTAATAATAATGTATTAGTGCTTACATTGTTGTTGTTTTCTTTCTGTTTTAATGCTACTTAGGTTTTCTTTTGTTTTTTAATTAAGAACTAAACTCTTTCAATGTATTGGTGTGAAATGCTTTTACGGCCACACACAAACACACACAAAGTGTGCGTGTGCGTGTGCGTGCGCGTGCGCGTGCGCATGTGTGGGCGTGTCTGCAGTGTCTATGTATTGCATAACTTGCATGATGCTTAGATATTTTAATTAACCGTTATTGTTGTTGTGGAGAGATCTTCACACGAGTTGAGTTGAGTGGAGTTGAGTTGAGTTGAGTTTTGAGTTGTTTTGAGTGGAGTTGACTGTACTACACTGCTACTACCATTAGTTAATATGTTTTGTATAGCTTTAAATGTTTAGTTTTAGTTGTAGTTGCCGCTGCCGCTGCTGCGGCTGCTGCTTCAGCTGCTTTACGATTGCCTGCTGTCCTTTTCGCCGCTGATTTGCTGCAATGAGAGAAAGCGAGAGAGAGAGAGAAATTAGTCAAAATCGATTTAAGTCTTAACAGTATAAGTGTAGAGTATAAGTGTATAGTATAAGTGTATGCCTGACTTGCACAACAAATCACGAATTATCAATTAATTTGCTGTTGTTTTCGTATTTCTTTTGCTTTTCGCAACTCTTCTTCTTTTGGCTTGTCGTCTCATTTGTTTACGTAGCGCTTGAGCTTTGTGTGCATTTTGTTGCTGCCTTCAATTTTTTTTCTCTTCTTTTTTCTTTCATTTTCATTGCCTGCCGTTGGCGCTGGCAGCGACGTATTAGGAGAAGGGCCAAGGCAGAGGCGCCAACTGAGCGCCAGCGCAAAACTAAGAAAATCAAATGAGCTCGTGTAGTTGTTGTTGCTGCGTCTCTTACTGTCGCTGCCTGTTATGTTGAGTGACCGCAGAGCTTTGTCGGGCCGGGGGGCGGGCGGCAGGGCAGCGGCTGGGGTGCGCACATTGTAGAAAGCGACCGACTGGCGACTGGCGCACAGCTGCGCGGCGCGAAAAGTACAAAAAAAGAACAGCAAAAGCAAAAGCAGCAACAATAACAACAACAACTACGTAACGAGAACATTTTGAACACGTGCATTTCTTCTTACGACTTATACATACACATATGTATGTATGTGTATGTACATATGTGCACATGTGTGTGTGAGTGTTTTTTTTTTTGCGGCTGTGTCTTAACGAAGGAATTTGTTGTTTTGCGGCCAACGGTGACACATTATAACACACACACACACACGCGCAGCCAGGCTGTGGAGGGTAGCGGGTGTTGAGGGGCGGACGATCTGAGGCGTGGGCGGCTTGCCTCAATCTCGGTGCAGATGTTTTGCGTTTTGCAAGAGCAACACAGCCGCTCATAAGGTCCGAATGACCGACTAATTGTGGGGTGGAGTGATTCTTCTTCTCTTCTCGCTTCGCGAACAAGAAGATGCAAATGCATAATTAATCAACGGCACAAAAACAAATACAGTTAATTGCGGCCCACCAGAGACGCTGGCGAAGGGGCGAGAGAGGAAGAGGGGGAGTGAAGGAGGGGGAGGGAAGACTTGAAAACTTTTATTGAAATTGTTTGAGCACGAACTGTGAAGAGCAGTAAATACATCATATTTATTATAACCTGTTCCGGCCAAGTATTGTACAATTTTTTGCCAGCATCATTTATAATCAACGAAAACAACGCAAGACGTTGCAGCGGGCGGGCGGTCAAATGGGGGAAAAGCCAAAAACTGCGCTAATGAAGTAAGCAACAAAGCAACAACAACAAGAAAAATAACTGAAACGGAGGCTGACTGATGATTCTCCAATTTCAAATGTCGAAGTCAAGCTTAAAGCTGCGTTAGCAACTGTGCGTGTGTGTGTGTGTATGTGTGTGTGTGTAGTCACATACGAACATACATGAAATAAATTTAAGTATCTGCAGGTGTTCATTTAAAACATCACAGACAGCAACAAAATGGAAGAAGAGAGGAAGCAAAAAAAAAAAGGCCGCGAGAAAAAAAAACAAAATTAACAGCTACGTATTGCCGCAGCCGCAGCCGCAGTCGCAGCCGCAGCCAACAACAAAAGAAAGAAAGAAACAGCGACAGCGAAAAATATGTGAAATGTCTATAAAAACAAAATGAAATTGTGCGAGCAGCAGGCAGATTTATTGTTGTTGTAGCTGTTGTTGTTGTTGTTGTTGTTGTTGCGGCGAAAAGAAAGCGAGGCGAAAAAATGTAAATCTTGCACACATGCGAAAATAAATGATATTTTAAAGTGCGAAATGCAAATACCGTCAAACGGACAGACGAACGTCCTTACGCTGCTTAGCGGTAAATGAGGTCACAACAACAATCGCCGCAGCAGCAGCAGCAGCAGCAGAGCGACAACAATGCAAAAAGTCGCCGCTTGCTTAATTCGCCGCTTGCTTCATTCTCTTCGCTTGCATGTGTAATTTTTTTCGGGGGGTTTTTTTTTTTTTGGCGACGTCAAAGACGTTGCCGCAGTCGACGTTTCATTTGCAATGCAAATGCAAAATATATTAAGAAAAAAAAACAAAAACAAATATCAAAAATTGAAGCGCGTCGCTTTCAAGGTGTGTGGCTGCGGGGGTGTGGGTTGCAGGCGCTTGACTTACCGTCGCTAAACTGTTGGGCAGCTGCTGCTGCACGGGCGCCGCTGCTGCTGCTGCTGCTGCTGACGCCGGCGTTGCTGCTGCTGCGTTTGCTGGCAGAATTGTGTTGGGGCTCTGGCGATCGGCGAGCGGGAGGCGTGCGGCAGCGGGACTAGAGATTTTTGCTAGCTGCTCCTGCTCGGCGGCCAGGCGCATGGCCAGCACATCGCCGCCAGCTGCATCCATATCCATCTCCATCTCCTCGTCGTCCTCCTCCTCGTCCTCTTCGGAGCCGCCCGCAGCGGCGGCTGCCGCAACGCCGCTCAACGCGGCAGCTGCATCGAAGTTGTTAATCTCGGGATGGGTTTCCAGCTCCGTTTGCAGATCGCAGATGTAGTCGATGACATGCTGTATGATCTCCAGCTTGGAGAGTTTGCGGTTCTTGGGCATGAACGGCACCAGATCCTTCAGCTTGGAGAGATACATTTTCATTTCGGCATTTTCGCCGTCGCCGCGATGCGGCGGGTGGCGGGCGATGCGGCCGTTCGGATTCATTGCCGGCATCGAGGCACCTGTTTGGCAGACGGCCGTCAAGGATTTCATTTTCGAAATGATCGCTTTTCGCTCCTTGAGTAGAATTTTGGCGGCTTTTTACACGGTCGAACCGGTTACTTGCGAGGAAGTTTTCTTTTCAAATAAAAACTTTAACTTTGTTGTTTTCGATTTTTGGTTTTGGTCAGCTGCGAGTTTTTCGAGTTTAGTTGAATTTTCTTGCTTTTTAGTTGTTGTTCACTTTACACGCACTTTTTGCTCTGTTGCTGCTTTTGCATTTAACTTTGATCAACAAAACAAAACACTTTAATCCAGCGTGTTTTTTTTTTTTTATTTATTTTATTATTTTCTATTGCATTTGTTGTTGTCGAGTGTTGCTCAGCTTTGACTTTTGCCTAATAATTGCTTGAGTTAGTTTCTTTTTATGCGCGAACCAGCAACAACCGTCAACGACCACGATAAATTTGTATTTGAATGGGAGAGCGCGCCGAGCGCGCCTTTTATACGCGCAGCTCGCGAGCCGAACGGCTGCGGCAGCAAATGAAAAGATACGGATACTTCGTGTCTGGCAGATACGAGTGCAAGCGCTCTCTCTCTCTCTCGCTCTCTCGCTCTCTCCGCTCTCACTCTCCGCTTGAACCAACCAACCACCAACAGTGCCAAGGCAAAACTCGTTCCACGCAGCAAAGAGGGGAAATTGACTAACTCAAGCATCGAAATTTTCCACAATTTAAATATATTTTAAATATTTATTTATTTGCTTATTTAGTTAAAAAATTTATAAAATTACAAAAATTTTGAATGTCTTTACGGCAGCCCTGCGGGCGCCCCTCTCGGAGAGTAAAACACGAACGGCAAAACGGCGCAGCCGAACGCTAACATAATGGCTCCGCCTATCGCAGAGCGGACGAGTGAGAGAGAGAGTAAGCGAGCTGCGTTGGAAAAATAGTGTAGACTCAAAGGGGCAATGTTTTGTAGAGCCATGCCAGCAGGATCTCATCGGTTGGAGAGTAGCGTGGTGTGTCGAGTTGAAATCAATGCAATTTGTGGCTTGCATATTAATGGGGTAAATCAGTGTAGAGGTGAGAATTGTGCAGCAGTAGGAACTGGACACTATGTAGATTAGTGTGTGTATGTGGATTGTGTCTACAAAGTAGAAGGGGAGACACGATGGGCTACTTTGTGGATGTTATGAAATTCCGCCGCATATCTCATTCTTTAGGCAAATATTTAAAGGTCTGCAAAAATAGTATATCGAAAAGCGTCAAATATTGCTTCTAATGCAATTACAAATTTTGCTTACTTTTTTACACACATTACACACATATTTTACATATATTTTTAGTGGAAATGTAAGTCTTCACAGAGTCTTCCCAACTCTCGCTCTTCTGTGGAGTGGAGACTGCACTTGGCCCACTTCCCCAGTTTCCACAAAATCTCGGCTATAAAGTTAAGATACCAACTCTCAGCTGTGTAGAGTCTACTTGGCGTCCACTCAGAAACCACAACTCTCAGCTTTGGAGATTGTGCTCATAACAATATTTGTAGAATTTCCCCAGCTTCCGCAACTGTGCTGTGATTGGTCGGCTGCAACACACACGCTCTCTTGTGGCTTGCCGCACTCTTCCACAAGAGCGCGCTCTCTTTCCTTCTCTCTCTCTCACAATGTGTGATTTTGTGAATGAAATAGATTCAAAGTATGAGACGTTATTTTCTTTCTTTCTTTCTTCGTGGCTTATCTTAATTTGGGCTTATGATATCTGCCAGACGACCAAATACATTCATATCTTTGTGCATATGTGTGTGTGTGTGTGTGACTTCTCTCCCACTGCATTGAAGCAACTTGTAGGGTTTCTGCTGGGCATGAAATCACGATCATATTACATGAGACCACGAACCACAACGACGACGACGACGCCAGTCGAGTGTTTGATTTGGATTTGGATTCCAGACTCCCGTCCATTGAGAAATGTTGAGGGAAATGTTCATTGAAAGTGAGGCCTGTTTGTGAAAAATGACACGTCTGGAAATTGTCTGTGTTCCACTGGAACGCTTCAAGTGCTAATTGAGGCGCAGGCGATTCATTCACAATAACAATTTAGTGGGCTAGACCGAGAGGGATTCGGTTCTCTACACAACAAACATGCATTGACTCAAATTAGCGCCAATCGTTTGCATTCCCATGAAGCTAGGCGAGAGGCGAGGGGGTGGGGCGGGGGTGGTCGGAAAAGGAAACTGTAATCTTCGCTGTGGAATTTCGCGCGAATTTCCAAGTAAAGCAGCGAAGGTGTTGCATGAAATACACAAGAAACCGTGTCGAAAAACTAAACTGCAAATAATTAAAAACAAAACCAAAAAAAAGAGGCAAAAACCAGCTAGCAAAAAAACCTAACCAAGCCAAGGAACAGTTCAAATTTCCAGCAAAAATACCGATCATAATTTTATGACTCCAACGAGATGTTTTTTTTTTTGCCAGGCAGGACTTGCTTTACGGCTCTCGAGTGTTTCGCATGAATGACAAATGAGCAGCGACGACGACGACGACGACGCAGATGCAACAGGTTAAGAGCAGACGACGAGTGCACTGGAGCAGTTGCTGCAGAGGGGGGACGGAGGGAGGTGGGGGAGGGGGGGGGGGGGTGGCAAAGAACTTGCGATGCAAAGCGTTGCGATCACATGTCAATCAGCGGGCAGAGAATGCCTTCAGCTCGGACCTAGAGCTGAGGCTGGGGCTGGGGCTGGGGCTGGAGCTGGACTAGTCGCAGATGGTTGACGCTAGAGTGGGCGAGGGGGGATGGGGCGCTGCTAGATGGCGTTGCAGATATGCATGCCGCATGCCGCGTGCATGGCATGTCGAAATCCAATACGCGTCACTCAACCACTGTCCGGAGTCTAGGCCATTAAAAGGCAAACCTGAAGGGTGACAGCCCCCGCTGCCACGCCCCGCCCCGCGCACCGACAAACCGACGAACCGACCGACCAACATGTTGACATGTTGCATACGCGAATCTCATTAATGAATTCGGCGCGACAATTTCTGCGCTAGCCGCGTTTCGTTTTGTTTCATTCTTTGTCTTATTTTTAGCTTCAATTTTTGCATATATGCATGCATGCATGCATGTGTGTGCATGCGTGTGCGTGTGTGTGCCTGCGTGTGCATGTGTGTAAGTGTGTGGATGCGCCTCTCTCCTTTCTCACAGGCATTCGCCATATCATCAGCGACTTTTCGCCATAGCCTTGTCGCTCGCATCCGGCCTCCGGTTGTTATGGTAACTGAATACTAATTCCAGCGCTTCAATGAACGGCACTCGTTGAGCTTTTGTTTATTTTGTCTCTGTCGCGGCTATTGCTCTGCTGTTGTTGTTGTTGTTGCTGTTGCTGTTGCTGTTGTTGTTGCGAAAAAAACAATCAGCAGCAATGCGTGGGAACGGCAACTCAAATTGAAAATGCCTTTTTGTTTTGTTTACGCAAATGCGTAAGTATTAGAGTGAGATGGAGAGTATGCGTGTGTTTGTGTGTGTGTGTATTTGTAGGTTTCGATCTGTCAAAGCTTCACTTGTGCATTAGTATGCGTGAGAGCATGTGCTGCGTAAATTGCCCATTGACAAAACAAATTTTGCATTTCAAACAGATCTTCAGTTCCACCAAGGACACATGACAAACTGTTGTTTATTTTTTTTTTTGATTAAGTTGCCATTGTAATGAAATAGCTTAAATGGAAACCAACTTAGTCACAGAATTGTGTAATATGAGCTGAAATCATTAAGAGAAGAACCAAGATGCAACCAGTGGGACCAGCTGCGGTTTGCAAAGAAAAGAGCTGAAGCCTAGCAGTAAAAAGGCATGCTAGTGCTTGTATACAGCCAAATCTAGCTAGAAATAGCTGAATTGGCAACTGGCCCATATAATATTTATGTGCATATGTATATAAAAGTATTCGTCCTTAACCTATAAATAGTTAATTGAAAGGAATCTAAACAAGAGCTGGCCAAAATAAACATTGATATTAATGAGTTAGCCGCTAAATAGCTGCTAATTTACCTAAATGTAAATGCACATTAGTCAAGCCTTTGCAGAGCCAACACCAAAATCCACAGATCCCCGCAGCCACAAGGACATGCACACAATGCATAACAATAACAACAACAACAACAACAACAACAGCGACAACAACAACAATGAATAACAAATGCAGCCGCACACGAAACAAATTCGAATGGAAGCCAAATAAAAGTCGACACATTGAAACGGAGCTACTCCAAATTTAGAGAAAACACACAAGTCGCTGCCGTAACAGAAGTAGGGGCAGGGGGTAGGGGAGCAGGGGCAGGGATCTGCAGCGAGCTGTATGAGAAATGTCAATGGCATTGCAGAAGGCAGAAGGCAGAAGGCAAATGAACTGCTGTCAAAATAACCCCTGCCTAGTCTAAAAGGGACGGCGACAAAAGGCGCACAAAGGACGCGTCGCGCTATTTGTAAAGCTGCCAAAGGATATCGATGAAAATGTGCAGCCGGCGAGAGCGAGAGTGAGAGAGAGCGAGGTGTGTGTGTGTGTGTGTGTGTGTGTGTGTGTGCGAGTGTGTGGCAACCAGGTGAACAGATCAGATGCGATTAGGGATTATTATGCTATTACGCAGGATACGATTAACAATGGCAGCGGCAAAACAAGGATAACAACTGCGCCGCACGCCGCGACATATGCTACAACATTTATTTATACGGAACCAAGTCAGGCCATGGCCAGCGGAGGGAGGGGCGGGGAGTGGAGGGGAGGGGAGGGATGGTTAAATATATTTAGGCAAATGTGCGCAGCCGCCTCGATTCTCACTATTTTTGCTACCCTAATTGAGTGGGAAAACGCAGCGCGACCGGCGCGAGAGGGTCCTGGCGAGCGTCCTGCGCGCATTGCATCTGCACAATTTTTGTGTTTTTTTTTTGTTTTTTTTTCTGTTTCATTTGGCCGGCTGCCGTTATTTGTATTGCATTTTTACCGTTGCCGCTGCTGCGTTTCGAGTGGAGGCCAATGACAGGCGATCGGGCACTGAACTGCGGCCAGCGGCCACCGGGCTTTTAACACCCTGTTAACCTAGAAGTAACATGGGGTGGTTTGGTATGGGTGTCTGCATGAGACAGTGCGTGAAAATATTAATCGAATGCTGAAGAGTTGTGAGGCCTTTAAGAAGAACTGCGATTGATCCATAAATACTCGAAAGTTTAAAACTTGGAAAAATTGTAATTTATGCAGAAAAATTGACCAAAAAGGCCGTGTTTGTTGAAATATCAAATTGTCCCAATACTAAATTTAATGCAGGGTATTCTAAGTGCATTATTTCTATTAACAACAGTTTTTTATATACTTTTGTCTAAAAATAAATTATATGTGGCTGTAGGGAACTGTTACAGCGCATTCTTACTAAATGCAATCTTTTACAGGGTATTTTCTATGC